TACACGCACACACACACACAGAGACACGCACACACACACACACACACACACACACACACCAACCCATCTCACACACACACCCACACACACACACACACCATATATATATGTGCACACACTTACTGTATATATGTGGTGTGTTTTTTATTTGAATCTTCAAATGCAATTTAACCTTACTTAATTAATCGCATGCCCTCCTGGGTTTAAAATGCACTTAAAAACAGACTGTAAGCAGTTGACCAATATAAGATGAGTGGGGCGGAGGTAAGGTTTGGAGTATTCAACCACAACACGTCACCTGTCTCTTGTTAGCTCGTTAGTCTCACTCTCGTTGCATGTCAATGAGAGGTGCCACGTGGGTCGACCGAGAGAAGGAGAGAAGTTTGGCCCACGTGAAGGATAATCCCGAGTGGGTGTGTCTGGAGTGTGCGCTGGCAAGCTCTCCGAAATAAACATGGATACACCGTCTCGAAATGTATGCTCAGCGCGTGAAGATGCACGCGCGCGCAGCGTGTTCTGGTTATCGCGTACATCGACCCCAAAGAGGAAGGAGGGTCACTCCTGGTGATTCCTGGGCAGGCGAAGGTCTAACCACCACTCTTACGGCAATGGGTACCAGACTATTGGTATTGGAGTGGCCCAGCTGTGTGAAAGAAAGAGAAGCGGATGTGTAAAGAGTATCTACGTAATTTATGCTCAGCTATCACGGTTGGGTTGACGCAAGCTTGAACTATTTTTGCATGATGTAGGCAGACACTAGAGCGGTCTGCGGCAGACAGACAGGATAGATTGGAAAACTCTGTGTTAAAACGTCTGAGTTAATTGTGATGAATCACACATGGAAGGGAAGCGAGAGGGGCGTTAATTGAACACGGCGGCCAATCTCAAAGTCGTAAAGAGGCATCACGAAGAGTGATGTACCCCCGGCCAGTCAACTGAGGCACCTTCATAGTTGGCCTCATCAACCTTGGCTCTCACTGCTCCCCACACGAACTGCGCACGTGGAGAGACGCTCTTGGATGGACAACCACTCAGTCACTTGCCATATAGTGCATCTAGCTTGGGTATCATCTTCGCAGGAGAGCTGTATACCTGGTCCCCTCCTCATGCGGAATTGAGGTCATTAATACCCCAAAGTGGGCATGCGTATGAATCCATCTACCTCTGTGTGTTCTCTGGCGAGAGAGTAGAGTCGAGAGCGCGCCCTTTCCGAAGTGCGCGGCCTTCAGAATCCCTGGGAATCAAATGCCACCCGTTTGTCAGGAGAGCAAGAGAAGCGAGCTTGTGTGCGAGGCCCTCCGCGCCCATACTCTTTGGGCCCTGCGGCTGGCCTAATACTGTGTTTTGGGGCAACACGCTTGGGTCTTGTCTGGGCATGTAAGTGCAGCTGGGGCGATGCTAAGTGTGTCTTGGGCCTGAACACACGGTCGGGAACCCACCTAGCTATTCATTGCGAACGTGGCTGTTCCGGGCAGTGGGGAGTGTATATCCCCTGCTCCACGGCTGCGTGAGTGACCCCTCATCTGGGGCTCTCCTCAGCTCTTTCCGGGAGAGTGGCACGGTTGCCCCTCCGTTGATCTTCCTTGGGCTCTTGTTCTCTGGATGTCTGGAGCCTGGATCTCCTCCATACCTGCTTCATGCCCTGGAGGACAGAGCTATGGCCCCCCACACCCTCTAGCAGATCATTACATGAAGGAACCTTTTAAATACAAGTGCACCCTTTTTGGCTCCTACCTCAAAGCACACTGTGCGCTGTCAATCCTACGTGCTGCACAATAATATTCAATATTTAGTATTTACTGTTATATTCACATAGATTATCATGATGATGTTGTTTATTATATTGCTCTCTTTCTTTTTGCTTGTTTTCTCTTTTTCTTTCTCAACAGGTGATCCAGGTGATTGATACAGGGAGTGCAGAATTATTAGGCAAATGAGTATTTTGTCCACATCATCCTCTTCATGCATGTTGTCTTACTCCAAGCTGTATAGGCTCGAAAGCCTACTACCAATTAAGCATATTAGGTGATGTGCATCTCTGTAATGAGAAGGGGTGTGGTCTAATGACATCAACACCCTATATCAGGTGTGCATAATTATTAGGCAACGTCCTTTCCTTTGGCAAAATGGGTCAAAAGAAGGACTTGACAGGCTCAGAAAAGTCAAAAATAGTGAGATATCTTGCAGAGGGATGCAGCAGTCTCAAAATTGCAAAGCTTCTGAAGCGTGATCATCGAACAATCAAGCGTTTCATTCAAAATAGTCAACAGGGTCGCAAGAAGCGTGTGGAAAAACCAAGGCGCAAAATAACTGCCCATGAACTGAGAAAAGTCAAGCGTGCAGCTGCCAAGATGCCACTTGCCACCAGTTTGGCCATATTTCAGAGCTGCAACATCACTGGAGTGCCCAAAAGCACAAGGTGTGCAATACTCAGAGACATGGCCAAGGTAAGAAAGGCTGAAAGACGACCACCACTGAACAAGACACACAAGCTGATGGATGGGCCCGTGGCTGGATTGGTAAAGGGCAGAGAGCTCCAGTCCGACTCAGACGCCAGCAAGGTGGAGGTGGAGTACTGGTTTGGGCTGGTATCATCAAAGATGAGCTTGTGGGGCCTTTTTGGGTTGAGGATGGAGTCAAGCTCAACTCCCAGTCCTACTGCCAGTTTCTGGAAGACACCTTCTTCAAGCAGTGGTACAGGAAGAAGTCTGCATCCTTCAAGAAAAACATGATTTTCATGCAGGACAATGCTCCATCACACGCGTCCAAGTACTCCACAGCGTGGCTGGCAAGAAAGGGTATAAAAGAAGAAAAACTAATGACATGGCCTCCTTGTTCACCTGATCTGAACCCCATTGAGAACCTGTGGTCCATCATCAAATGTGAGATTTACAAGGAGGGAAAACAGTACACCTCTCTGAACAGTGTCTGGGAGGCTGTGGTTGCTGCTGCACGCAATGTTGATGGTGAACAGATCAAAACACTGACAGAATCCATGGATGGCAGGCTTTTGAGTGTCCTTGCAAAGAAAGGTGGCTATATTGGTCGCTGATTTGTTTTTGTTTTGTTTTTGAATGTCAGAAATGTATATTTGTGAATGTGGAGATGTTATATTGGTTTCACTGGTAAAAATAAATAATTGAAATGGGTATATATTTGTTTTTTGTTAAGTTGCCTAATAATTATGCACAGTAATAGTCACCTGCACACACAGATATCCCCCTAAAATAGCTAAAACTAAAAACAAACTAAAAACTACTTCCAAAAACATTCAGCTTTGATATTAATGAGTTTTTTGGGTTCATTGAGAACATGGTTGTTGTTCAATAATAAAATTATTCCTCAAAAATACAACTTGCCTAATAATTCTGCACTCCCTGTATGTAATTTTTGTCTGTTTGTTTTGTTGTTTTTGTTTTTGCCCTTTATCACTGTTCCTCTTCCCTGCTGTTTTGTTTCCCTCTTTCTTTCTCCCTTTTCTTTTCCCCAGTCAAGTCTGTCCCGTATTTAGCAAGTGAAAATAAAATAAAATAAACAATAAAAGGTGAATCAAATAGACCAATACGGCAAGGCTGGGATGGTCCATTTGGTAAAGTAAATTTGTTGGGCATCTCTTTGTCTTTAGACAATAATTCTGATGGCAAAAGAACCAAAAAAAAAATAATGCAATTTAACTTTAATCTCTTAAACCCTGTTTAAAATTCTCATTTTTCAATTCATTTTAAAATTCTCAGTGAAAAACCCCTCTAGATTTACTCAGCTCCTTCCCTAGAATCCAAATTTGAAAATAGTTACACCTTTATAACAGTTATTCAGCAAACACTGATGTTATTGAAGTTGATATTAGAAAAGAACTCAGCTTTATTATCAAGTTCCTGAAACTCTCATGTATATCTTAAGCAAATACATTAAAACATATCCTAAAACTAGACTGAAAAATATTTGCACACCTTTTATTATAATTAAACAAGTGTGTGGTTCTCATGGAAAGGATTAATGGGTAATCTCACTAAACATTTGGTGATATCAGTAATTTTGTAGGTGCTAAAACAAAGTGTCTGAGTCGGCTGCTGAGTATATAAGCTGCAATGCTCAGTACCTCTGACAAATTGGAAGGTGAACGAATACAAACATGTGGACTCTCTTGTTCCTTTGTGGTGTGCTCATCACACATCAGGTGCAAGGTACTTTCCATTCGTTTCTTATCATGCTTTTTTTCTTTTTGGATTTTCAAGCAAATTTGTTATTTTGTCATTTGATATTTTCAACAACATTTGCGAGTTGATGGCTTGTCGGTGCTGCATTTGTAGTCTGAAATTGATGTTATCTTTATGTCATTATCCATCAGGTGTAGATCGTGGCGACGCTGCTCGTTATTGGTGGACTACAGCAGATTATTGGGAAACTTCAGAGATTATTGGGAAACTACACCAGGTTATTCAGGTAAAAGGAAAGATATATGGTACTGTCTTTGTCTGTCTTAATATTGTTCATTTAATCGCTGTGGTCAACAGTTTACATCAAATAACAGTCATGAACAAAACAGAGTATTAGAGAGATTTTTTAAAATGGACATGAAAACTAAATGTATAAAGGCTAATTTACACACTGAAACAGTTAATTTACACAAACTGACATAAATGTAACAATGTAGCTGGAATTAATAAATAAGTGCTACAAGTTAAAGTTTTTAAAACATGTTTAGCGCCATCTTCTTCAGTACAGAACCTGAGTTGGTTGGTTGCAATCAACTGACTTCATATAGCTAACTAATAACAGAACCAGCTAAAAATCTATTTTGTTGTAAACTGGTTGGATGTACTTGGGAAGAGAAAGATTATTTTATTGAATAAAAACCACTGATAGCATCGGCTGATTCTGACTCCAGCTAGTAGATCCAGTGAACCACCTGTCACCTGACTCAAACAGGTTCTCCTCCACACTGGTCTCTTTTATGAAGTGCTTTAGAAACCCGAACATTACGGCTAACAGCTAGATTTCCCTGTGTCAGAGCAGCTAGCTAAACAGCTAAGAGCCACTTACTGCTAAAGGTAATGAGACAACACCTACATACAATTTTTTTTTCAATGCACCCGTTGCTGATGCAACAAATGCAAATTGTGCAATACATTCATGATTCTGGGCCAATTTGTTTTCTTTAGAATTTGTATATATGACACATGCATATAAAGTTTATAAATAATATAGTTCTGGATATCTGTTTATGCTGTAGCAGTTACAATCTTATACATTCAAACAACTAAAATGTTAAACTCACTGTCCACAAAACTTATTGTTAATTGATTAGCTTTTTAACATGTATTTAATTGATTTTTTTTAATGATTCTGTGTTACTTCAGGATGTGGTGGTTACCTGTATGGCAGCAGTGGCAGTTTTTACAGCCCCAACTATCCAAACCTGTACCCAGACAATTCTGACTGTATATGGTACATCAGACCAGGCAATCAAATTATTCAGCTGGAGCTGTCAGATGTAAAGTAAGCAAGTATTTTTCCATACCTAGGATGAGTGTGATCACTCTTTACTTTGGTTGTATTATGGTGACTTTTAATTCAAAGTTGTGTTCTTGGTTTGTGTTAATCACAGCACTGAGTGTGGATATGATTATGTTTACGTCTATGATGGCTCCAGTACTGGAAGCCGGCTTCTGGGAAAGACATGTAACAACACCAAAAACAACACTTTCTATTCCACCGGTTATTATTTGACTGTGCGCTTCAGGAGTGATGGCAGTGTAAGAGACACAGGATTCCGTGCTTCTTACAGAGTTGTGTGTAAGTCACACCTGTTATGATACCTTTATAAATAAAGTTAGGTACCATGTCTACAGTTTATTTGTGGATTTTATTGTCAGTGAAAGAAAACAAACAAGCAAAAAAGAAGTAAAAATCATAATCTTGAGATTTTAATTAATGGGAATTTTTTTGTCTTTTTTGTCTATCCTCCTTGAAGCTGGAGGTTCCTGCATTCACAACTGTGGTTACCAGGTTGGATATTGCTCTTGCTCTTCGAGCTGTGTATACAGAGGGGACTGTTGTTATGACTACGAAGGTAAGCAATGCTGAAAAGTGCCAAAACGCATTTATTCAGGGCCTGTATTTAATGACAATTTGCGCAACTTGTACTTTATTTTGTGGAACGAGGTATACAAACTAAATATGATAAATAATTCATGAATAAGAAAATATAGTACCCAAATATTTGAAAACAGCATGATCAGAGTATGTTTCTTTTTCTTCTTTCCTGACCCAACGTGCCTGTTATGATACACACAAACATAAAAGAAACTAGATCTTAAAATTTACCTCCCACAGATCACTGCACGTCCACATCAGTAACAGGTATACCAGAAACAGATGCAACAACAGGTAAATAAAAAGAATTAAGTAAAGATACTGTTTAAAAAAAATGAGATTAAAAGCTATAAAGTAAATGTTGTCTTCCAGATCTGTACTCATGTCTTTACAACTGTGGCGCACACCTGGGAAGCTGTTCCTGTACTAGCTCTTGTGAATACTACGGCAACTGTTGTCATGACTACTACTGTAAGTATTCTGTCCTTCAAAGCTCAGCAGAAGGAGGCCCTGCTCACTATGATCACACTTTCCAATGAAAAGAATTTTTCCTCGCACTACAGGTGTGCTGCCACACTTCCAACAGTCTCACACTTACACAGCCTATAAAACAGTCATGCTTATTCAAAAACAAGGGGGCAAAGATGTTTGGAAAACTGTTCAGTTTTAATCTGTATGGTTTGCTCCTTTGTTTCAGCTTACTGCCCAAGCACAGGAGATCCAGTCACAGGTATAAAAGTCTGTATGGGGAAACATTTTTAAAGCAGCAGCTCAGTAAAAGCCATCTCATAGATTTTTTTAAATACTGTATCTCTCTCTGTTTTCAAGATCAGCCATCATGTCGTTACAACTGTGGCATGCACCTGGGAAGCTGTTCATGCAGAAGCTCTTGTCAATACAATGGTGACTGTTGCTATGACTACTATGGTAAGTGGCAAGTCTTACAGATCAACGTTGTTAACCGTCTCTGCAGCCATCTCTTGCAGGAGCAAACAGTCTGTCAGATTCCAGTGTAATGGTTTTCTGAAAATGACACATGACATTGTGACTTTGTGTTTAAAGAGACAATTTTCTTTGGCCTTCAGTGGGATATACTGTATGCATCTAGATTGTTTTGGTTGCTCAGTTTTGGAGATATGTCTGTCATGTTTTGAACATCTAAAGTATTATTTTTTGGCTTTGTTAAAACCTTTTACAGACATAATTTCTTGTCATTGGCTATTAGCTAATGATGTTGAATGTTTCACTTAAATAATCATGTAGTAACAGTACAAAGGTCATTATCTCACACAAGTTTTAAAAAAGAAAAGAGCCAGAAACGCCAATCATTCAATTCGCATTAAAAGAAAGCAGCTAATGTCTCTTTTCAGAAATTATGACCCTTGCATAATGGGTCATAATGCACAAACCTTGTTATGAGCAGCTTTATCCACTGACCCATACTTGCTTGTGTCTGTGTGTGCATCCTGGTAGATCTGCTTTTCCTTCTGCAGAATGATATACTTGGTAGTTGCAATTTGGTAGAAGACAAACAAAAAAACCCAACAACAACAACAACCAACTGCTTACTTGTTTTTGCTCATCTGAACTTGGGTTGCAGTGGCAACAAGCTAATGCAAGATATTCCAGACGTCCTTCTCCCCAGCCTCAATTTCCAATTCCTCCTGGGGGATCCTGAATCCAGGCCTTATTAGAAATGTAATCTTTGCAACACATTCCCTGGGGTCTCCTCCAAGTTCAGCGTGCCCAGAACACCTCCGAAGATAGGCAACTAGGAGTGATCCAAACCAGATCAGAATCACCTCAACAGGCTCCTTTTGACATGTTGGGGAAAAGAAAGTCCCTGCATGAAACTGCTCAAAACAAGGTTTTACAATATTTCTTTGACAAACCTGGTCCTGATTTCTGAACAGAGACATTCCTGCTGAGTTTTCAAAAATATTTTAGTGCTTTACACACCACAACACAATTACCATTTAGTTCCATTATATACTGTATAAGAGAAGGGAGACATCTGCACAGCGGACGTCTCCAAAACTGAACAATCCAGATAAATAAATGGCACTCCAGGCTGGAGGGAATATTAGTGTTTGTAATTTTAAAGCTGCCCCCATCAGACTGCAAAGCAACAATTTTTGTTATATTTTTTGGAGAGTGTGGGAATTATGTATCTAATTCCCACATCCACAATAATCCCCAATTATTTAAATACTATGTTTTATTTAGAAAACCTTTTCTTCTTTCTGTCAAATAGATTACTGCTCATCAACCACTACGTGGCCTGACGTTACAGGTGCAAACCCTTACTTAATTTTTAAAAAATCAATAGTTTGATATTTAATGATTTGCCTGTAGTCTTATGTCCCCATGTGTTTTCTAGCTCAGCCTTCATGTCGATACAACTGTGGCTGGAGCATGGGAAGCTGCTCCTGCACAAGCTCTTGTGAATACTATGGAAATTGCTGTTATGACTACTACTGTAAGTGTTCAGCCCATCGAATTCATTAGTGCTCATATTAACATAATGTGAATAAGCGGTTTGTTAAACAAGCACATTAAATAAGTAAGAAAAGGTTAAACTGGCAAAAAGTCAAAATATTTTCTTTCCTCTGTCATGTAGCATACTGCCAATGGACTACTGACACGCCCACTACCATGCCTGTTACAGGTATGACAATCTCTCAACAGACTGAATGACAAAAAAAATTAAACATACCAATTATTCAAACACACTTTTACTCCCCACAGAACAGCCTTCATGTCAATACAACTGTGGCTGGAACATCGGAAACTGCTCCTGCTCAAGCTCTTGTGAATACTATGGAAATTGCTGCAATGACTACTACTGTAAGTAAAGCTCAGACGAGAACGTCACTGCAAATGGTGATCACAGTTCCTGCTCAACAGTATAGTGTATGGCTATAAAATTCACTGTATTTGCTGTATTATTTAAATCAACTTACGATGATGCCCATAAAATAAGTAAATTCCTGACAGTAAGTAACTTGATCTAATGTTGTAATTATTTTCTTCACTTCTTCTAGATTACTGCCAGTCTCCTGACTTTACCACAGGTACGAAAACCTCAGTGACCTCGAGTAAAACCAGAAACTGTTAATGCCTCTGGCGAGAAAGCTTACTGAAATGATTTCTGTGTCCCTCAGCTCAACCCTCATGTCGATACAACTGTGGCAGTTACATGGGAAGCTGTTCCTGCTCAAGCTCATGTGAATACTATGGAAACTGTTGTTACGACTACTACTGTGGGTATCTGGTCAAGTCATCTCCTACTTATTTATGTAGAGCAATATGACTTAAAAAAGAAAAGTTATCCTAAAACCTTCATTTCTCCCTTTAAACAGCCTCGACTGATTAGTCTCAACTAGGAGCCTATAAGGTAGGCGTCCCAGATTGTTGCAGCAATTATGTCTGGAAGGAAGTTTTGAGATACATTGCAGTGACATCTTTTATGCTATTATTATTAACATTACAACAGGAGAGTCATAGTGGAGGCAATCTGTTGTGCTCTGGACACCTTCTCTAGCCCTAACTATCCAGCCTTTACTTATTCTTATGATTCAACTGGTACTGTCATGTGGGTCAACTACAGTAGCTGCATTATTGGACCAAACAAGATAATTTCCTGCCAATTCACATTCTCTAACAGTAAGTATAATAGAAAACAATGTGAGCTAGCATTGTTATGTGAGGCACAGATAGGATCAATTTCTATTGTGAAGAGTACATGAATTACATGCAGGATCTCGATTTACACTTCACTATTTTAAACCTATGTCGTAGTGCAACTGGATTTTAAGCTATTGTCTTCCAATTTGTTACTGGCTTCTTATTGTAGTTTCCAAACAAAACATGAACCAGCGCAAGTAGTTCACTGTACGACTTAGAAGTGATTTAGGTCCTTTTGGTTTAGCGGCCTTGTTGGCAGCTGCGACTACATTGAAATCTATGATGGGCCATATGTTTATTCACCATTTTTGGGCAAAGTCTGCAACAACAGTCTGAGCACTTTCTTCTCCACTTCCAACTATATGACTGTGGTCTTCCGGACTGACGGTTCTATGGTTGGTCGAGGTTTCAACGCCGAGTTCACGAGCTCTTTGACACCAAGCTCAGGTACGCTTATTAGGAAGTAAAAGTCGGGCTATTTTGGCCTCTGCTTCTTTGATTATATCTTTTTTCTTTTTTAAAACATCATGCATATCTGTACCATTTTTCATACTGTAAAAAGTGGCTGAATAATAATTCAATAAGAACCAAAATGTAGGACCGACAAACCCTGAAAAAAATTCAAGCTGCTGTACCAATCTTGTTAACAACATGCTGTCAGGTCGAGTGGACTGCTCCTCAGACAACATGAACATCGTGATTGAGAAGTCTTACTTGAACAGTTTGGGTTATGATGGTCACAGCCTGTACCTGAACGACCCACACTGCAGACCCCAGATTTCCTATTACAATGTGGTCTTCAGTTTTCCTCTCAACACTTGTGGTAACACAAGAGAGGTAGGAACCCCAAAACTTTCTAAAAACAACAAAAAACCCCCCCCATTAACAGCAGTATTTTATAATTTTCAAAACAACTGATCTTCTTCCCTGAACAGTTTGAGAATGGCAAAATTGTGTACACAAACAGTCTTCGTGCCTACAACTCCAACTACGGTGAGATCACACGCCAGTCTAACTTTAAGCTAAACGTTCACTGCCGAATTGGAGGAAGACTTATCGGGTATCTTGGCAGATTACATTTATGTACGAGGGTCGCTTGTGAACTAGAGAACACCACCTATATACTGGGCACAGGCAGATACAATACCAAGACATGGTATGTATATCTACCAAATCCTAGCAGCTTCTGACTATCAGCGTTGTGCTTATGGGCAGATAACAAGGTTTGACTAGACGAGAGGAAACTCCTATCAGTTATAAGTTTTTTATATTGATAGCTGATAATTTTTCTTCTGCACCTCAGTAGTTGACTCAACTATTAACACATATGGCATTAACACTAAACCAAGTAACTATGTATCATCTGAGACAGATATTAGAGAGAGGTGACAGCAGTCTGGTCCTTTCTTCTATTGCACACCTGTATATGCGATCAACCATCAGCCTTTGATTATCCAATCTACAGACCCAATACGACTTGGTGTCGAATGGGTAAGATATGAGGTGCACCTCCACGGTCAGTTTTAATTCATTCTAACTAAAGCTGTGGTTGTTTTTCTTGTCCTTACAAATACAGCAAAAAGTGTTAGGCAGTAAGGTGCCTTAGCGAGTTTGTGTTTTTGTAAAGGGTATTAAATTGCTCTACGACCCCAGATAAGAGAATAATGAAAAACCTAGTCACTAGTTTATTTTAATAAAAGGCACTCATAATAATGTATCAGTAGTGACTGGGTTGATTGATCTTAAAAGGCTCGTAGAATTCTATTCCACTTCACCCAGCGTATGTTACAATACTCTCCAAGATATGAGGTGTAGTGGGGGGTTCACAGAACTACACTGGTTTTATTTGTAGTTAACGATACGATTATTGAGCAGTGCTGTATTACAAGCGGAGCAATATTTCTATTAAACTAATAGCTTTATTGTTGGCGCAACACTGTTCAGGTAATAAATAAGATCCCGATTGTTGTCGTCCATTTCTGTAACAGAAATTACGAGATCCAATTTAATCCAGACGATGTAATTTTATCGCTTTAGTATACATCTCTTTTTCTTCATTCTCATTTCCTACAGATGTGTTCCACAATATTAGCACAACACCTAATATAGAGCCTTAGATCTACTTACTGGCTTTAATACGAGTTCGCGGTTTTGTCTGCTCTTATTAGGTTATGGCTTACTACATTTGAAGTTCAAGGGTCTGCTTGTCCAAAGATTTGCATACTTCGCAGAGGCCCACCCATCCGAAAGGTTATCTGGTAAACCTGAGTCCAAGATGCAGACGCGTCCTATTATTTATTTGTTTCAGGACACTCCCTTTTGTAAACTGTACAGATTCAGTCCCACCGTCTGTAACTTAGCTTGTCGGCTCAGGCACTAACAAGCAGATGTGTGTACCGACAGTAGAACGTGGTGGTGGCTGAAAGGACATTGGAGTGAAATTCTTTTGTGCTAGAGTAATTTTAGGCGTCGCCGAGGTTCATCCCTTATTGGGAGTGTTGTTAGTGCGAGCTTTGTTTATACATTTAGTTTTCATGTCCATTTTAAAAAATCTCTCTAATACTCTGTTTTGTTCATGACTGTTATTTGATGTAAACTGTTGACCACAGCGATTAAATGAACAATATTAAGACAGACAAAGACAGTACCATATATCTTTCCTTTTACCTGAATAACCTGGTGTAGTTTCCCAATAATCTCCTGAAGTTTCCCAATAATCTGCTGTAGTCCACCAATAACGAGCAGCGTCGCCACGATCTACACCTGATGGATAATGACATAAAGATAACATCAATTTCAGACTACAAATGCAGCACCGACAAGCCATCAACTCGCAAATGTTGTTGAAAATATCAAATGACAAAATAACAAATTTGCTTGAAAATCCAAAAAGAAAAAAAGCATGATAAGAAACGAATGGAAAGTACCTTGCACCTGATGTGTGATGAGCACACCACAAAGGAACAAGAGAGTCCACATGTTTGTATTCGTTCACCTTCCAATTTGTCAGAGGTACTGAGCATTGCAGCTTATATACTCAGCAGCCGACTCAGACACTTTGTTTTAGCACCTACAAAATTACTGATATCACCAAATGTTTAGTGAGATTACCCATTAATCCTTTCCATGAGAACCACACACTTGTTTAATTATAATAAAAGGTGTGCAAATATTTTTCAGTCTAGTTTTAGGATATGTTTTAATGTATTTGCTTAAGATATACATGAGAGTTTCAGGAACTTGATAATAAAGCTGAGTTCTTTTCTAATATCAACTTCAATAACATCAGTGTTTGCTGAATAACTGTTATAAAGGTGTAACTATTTTCAAATTTGGATTCTAGGGAAGGAGCTGAGTAAATCTAGAGGGGTTTTTCACTGAGAATTTTAAAATGAATTGAAAAATGAGAATTTTAAACAGGGTTTAAGAGATTAAAGTTAAATTGCATTATTTTTTTTTTGGTTCTTTTGCCATCAGAATTATTGTCTAAAGACAAAGAAAGATGCCCAACAAATTTACTTTACCAAATGGACCATCCCAGCCTTGCCTAATGGTCTATTTGATTCACCTTTGCTTTTATTGTTTATTTTATTTTCACTTACTAAATACGGGACAGACTTGACTGGGGGAAAGAAGGGGAGAAAGAAAGAGGGAAAGAGAAACAGCTGAGAAGAGGGACGGGGGAGAAGGGCAAAAGACAAAAACCAACAGAATAACACAAAAATAAAGGAGTGAAGAATTATTAGGCAAGTTGTATTTTTGAGGAATAATTTTATTATTGAACAACAACCATGTTCTCAATGAACCCAAAAAACTCATTAATATCAAAGCTGAATGTTTTTGGAAGTAGTTTTTAGTTTGTTTTTAGTTTTAGCTATTTTAGGGGGATATCTGTGTGTGCAGGTGACTATTACTGTGCATAATTATTAGGCAACTTAACAAAAAACAAATATATACCCATTTCAATTATTTTTACCAGTGACACCAATATAACATCTCCACATTCACAAATATACATTTCTGACATTCAAAAACAAAACAAAAACAAATCAGCGACCAATATAGCCACCTTTCTTTGCAAGGACACTCAAAAGCCTGCCATCCATGGATTCTGTCAGTGTTTTGATCTGTTCACCATCAACATTGCGTGCAGCAGCAACCACAGCCTCCCAGACACTGTTCAGAGAGGTGTACTGTTTTCCCTCCTTGTAAATCTCACATTTGATGATGGACCACAGGTTCTCAATGGGGTTCAGATCAGGTGAACAAGGTGGCCATGTCATTAGTTTTTCTTCTTTTATACCCTTTCTTGCCAGCCACGCTGTGGAGTACTTGGACGCGTGTGATGGAGCATTGTCCTGCATGAAAATCATGTTTTTCTTGAAGGATGCAGACTTCTTCCTGTACCACTGCTTGAAGAAGGTGTCTTCCAGAAACTGGCAGTAGGACTGGGAGTTGAGCTTGACTCCATCCTCAACCCGAAAAGGCCCCACAAGCTCATCTTTGATGATACCAGCCCAAACCAGTACTCCACCTCCACCTTGCTGGCGTCTGAGTCGGACTGGAGCTCTCTGCCCTTTACCAATCCAGCCACGGGCCCATCCATCAGCTTGTGTGTCTTGTTCAGTGGTGGTCGTCTTTCAGCCTTTCTTACCTTGGCCATGTCTCTGAGTATTGCACACCTTGTGCTTTTGGGCACTCCAGTGATGTTGCAGCTCTGAAATATGGCCAAACTGGTGGCAAGTGGCATCTTGGCAGCTGCACGCTTGACTTTTCTCAGTTCATGGGCAGTTATTTTGCGCCTTGGTTTTTCCACACGCTTCTTGCGACCCTGTTGACTATTTTGAATGAAACGCTTGATTGTTCGATGATCACGCTTCAGAAGCTTTGCAATTTTGAGACTGCTGCATCCCTCTGCAAGATATCTCACTATTTTTGACTTTTCTGAGCCTGTCAAGTCCTTCTTTTGACCCATTTTGCCAAAGGAAAGGACGTTGCCTAATAATTATGCACACCTGATATAGGGTGTTGATGTCATTAGACCACACCCCTTCTCATTACAGAGATGCACATCACCTAATATGCTTAATTGGTAGTAGGCTTTCGAGCCTATACAGCTTGGAGTAAGACAACATGCATGAAGAGGATGATGTGGACAAAATACTCATTTGCCTAATAATTCTGCACTCCCTGTATATCAATCACCTGGATCACCTGTTGAGAAAGAAAAAAGAGAAAACAAGCAAAAAAAGAGAGCAATATAATAAACAACATCATCATGATCTATGTGAATATAACAGTAAATACTAAATATTGAATATTATTGTGCAGCACGTAGGATCGACAGCGCACAGTGTGCTTTGAGGTAGGAGCCAAAAAGGGTGTAGTTTGTGTGTGTGAGCACCCGTGTGTACACCTGTGAGCATGTGTGGTCAACAGTTTACATCAAATAACAGTCATGAACAAAACAGAGTATTAGAGAGATTTTTTAAAATGGACATGAAAGCTAAATGTATAAAGACTAATTTACACACTGAAACAGTTAATTTACACAAACTGACATAAATGTAACAATGTAGCTGGAATTAAGAAATAAGTGCTACAAGTTAAAGTTTTTAAAACATGTTTAGCGCCATCTTCTTCAGTACAGAACCTGAGTTGGTTGGTTGCAATCAACTGACTTACATTAGTTCATATAGCTAACTAATAACAGAACCAGCTGAAAATCTCTTTTGTTGTAAACTGGTTGGATGTACTTGGGAAGAGAAAGATTATTTTATTGAATAAAAACCACTGATAGCATCGGCTGATTCTGACTCCAGCTAGTAGATCCAGTGAACCACCTGTCACCTGACTCAAACAGGTTCTCCTCCACACTGGTCTCTTTTATGAAGTGCTTTAGAAACCCGAACATTACGGCTAACAGCTAGATTTCCCTGTGTCAGAGCAGCTAGCTAAACAGCTAAGAGCCACTTACTGCTAAAGGTAATGAGACAACACCTACATACAATTTTTTTTTCAATGCACCCGTTGCTGATGCAACAAATGCAAATTGTGCAATACATTCATGATTCTGGGCCAATTTGTTTTCTTTAGAATTTGTATATATGACACATGCATATAAAGTTTATAAATAATATAGTTCTGGATATCTGTTTATGCTGTAGCAGTTACAATCTTATACATTCAAACAACTAAAATGTTAAACTCACTGTCCACAAAACTTATTGTTAATTGATTAGCTTTTTAACATGTATTTAATTGATTTTTTTTAATGATTCTGTGTTACTTCAGGATGTGGTGGTTACCTGTATGGCAGCAGTGGCAGTTTTTACAGCCCCAACTATCCAAACCTGTACCCAGACAATTCTGACTGTATATGGTACATCAGACCAGGCAATCAAATTATTCAGCTGGAGCTGTCAGATGTAAAGTAAGCAAGTATTTTTCCATACCTAGGATGAGTGTGATCACTCTTTACTTTGGTTGTATTATGGCGACTTTTAATTCAAAGTTGTGTTCTTGGTTTGTGTTAATCACAGCACTGAGTGTGGATATGATTATGTTTACGTCTATGATGGCTCCAGTACTGGAAGCCGGCTTCTGGGAAAGACATGTAACAACACCAAAAACAACACTTTCTATTCCACCGGTTATTATTTGACTGTGCGCTTCAGGAGTGATGGCAGTGTAAGAGACACAGGATTTCGTGCTTCTTACAGAGTTGTGTGTAAGTCACACCTGTTATGATACCTTTATAAATAAAGTTAGGTACCATGTCTACAGTTTATTTGTGGATTTTATTGTCAGTGAAAGAAAACAAACAAGCAAAAAAGAAGTAAAAATCATAATCTTGAGATTTTAATTAATGGGAATTTTTTTGTCTTTTTTGTCTATCCTCCTTGAAGCTGGAGGTTCCTGCATTCACAACTGTGGTTACCAGGTTGGATATTGCTCTTGCTCTTCGAGCTGTGTATACAGAGGGGACTGTTGTTATGACTACGAAGGTAAGCAATGCTGAAAAGTGCCAAAACGCATTTATTCAGGGGCCTGTATTTAATGACAATTTGCGCAACTTGTACTTTATTTTGT